GTTTAAGTGTATGTTCATTGTTCAAAAGGGTTTTACCTTGGCATTTTACCTGTAAATTATAATACTTTTATCTGTCTAACCGCTCTATTACCCTCCCTTCCCCTTTCCCCACAACCCTGACATTCAGTGGTTGTGTCAGCTTATTGTTCTAGAGACCTCCTGTGCCTGGATGGGCATCTGTTCTTGATATTTGGAGTTTTCTGCTATTATGTTCTTAAGTGTGTTCCTATAAAGGCATAGGAATATGCCATAATTTGTAGGTTTGGTCTTCTAGTCCCTCAACATTGAGGAATGTCAAACAAAGGGGACAATTTAAGCAATGTGAAAGCATTTGCTTTTGCTGAAAAGCACTGACTCCTTCCTTGGGTACACAAATTAACTGAACAAAGAGAGAAAGACTTAGCATCTCTGATTCAGTTTTGTACCTGTTATCCTTTGCTCTGAGTTATTCTCTCCTGCAGTCACCTTGGAATCAAGGAAGGATGGGAATGATCAGTAGCATTTGTGAGAAGGACTGAAACGATCCCTAATGACAGTGGAGCCTTGGAGCACAGACCACCTTTCCAAATGAGGACAGATACCCATAACAATGAGGCTGCACTGTGGAGCAGGAGTAAGCACTTTTTGGGCACCAGATTGCTCCCCTCAAGTGTTGGCGGCAGTAACAACTTCTCCAGGACCCTTTAAGAGCAAGGACTGAGACAACATCCAACCAGATCAACACCTGTAAGTGTGACTGTTTAACTGTGCATACCTTTCAAACCCTGCCCAACTCTCTGTAGCTATTTAAAGCCAAAATGCATGTCTGTACCCCAAAGATGGCTAACAATGGGATGAGTGCTTACTTTGCCTATTCCTATGGTATATCCCTGGCTGAGTAATAAATTCCATTTCCACAGTACTACCCAGGCTGAGTAATAAATCTTTCTCTGCCCTTAATAAACATTACCATCTCTTTATTTGCCATAATAGAAGTGAGTAGTCTGACCTGACATGTGGAAGCCCAGGAGTTTGGACCTGAGACCATCACACTGTAAGGAAGTTTAAACTGGCTGTGTCAAGAGGAAGAGAGATGTCTAGCCAGCGCCCAGGTGTCCTAGCCATCTGACTGAGGGGCCAGACCTGTGAGTGAAGAATCTTTCTGTGTATTCCAGAACTGGGAAACATTGCATGTAGCAGCAGCGTTGTCCATCCATTCCAGGTAGCAGAGAACAATTCATGACAAACAGTTGCCAACTTACAATATTCAGCTGATGATTTTCCAGGTTTAAAATGGTGCCAAAGCAATGCACATTCAGTGGAAAACACACTTGGCATTTTGAATTGGGATCTTTTCCTGGAATGTGGAAAATTAGAGATCTTCTCTCTAATGCTAGGCAGCCACAATGAGCCACAGCTCCTAGTCAGCACCAGGATCCAGAGGGCAGCATCTCATACTCTCCAGTATGCTGTGTTGCTAGCATTTAACTGGAAATTGTTTTGTATTTTCACATCCCATCATTAAGTTACACAGTAAGTTACACAAAAAGTCATCACTTTTGCCCAGCACCAGTGGCTAACGCCTGCAAACCTAGGTACTCAGAGATCAGGAGGATCCAAGTTTGAGGCCAGCCCAGGCAAAAAGCAAGACCCTATCTAACAAACACCCAACACACAACAAAAGGAGTAATTGAATGGCTCAAGTGGTAAAGCACATGCCTAGCAAATGTGAGGCCCTAAGTTCAAATCCCAGTAACTTCCAAAAAACTCAGTAGTTTATTCTCTGTTAGTAATTCCCCAACTGTAGGCAAATATGTTTTGATCATGTGTAAGGTAGGCTATGGTGTTTAAATGCATTTTTGACTCACATATTTTCACCTTGCATTGGGTTTATCAAGACAACCCCATCATAAATGAAGAAGCGTCTGTCCTGAAAAGTTAGGTGTGAAGAAGTAAGGTAAGGTCACCACATTGGAGGTGGAGGTGAGAACCATGAGGCCCACAGTGGGAGGGGCAGGGTATGAAGGCTCCCATGGGATGGTTCTCCAGCACCAGCGTTGGAGCCGCAGAGGGACAGGAGGGCCTTTTGGAGGTTGGGCAGCTGGCATGGGGTGTTTGTGCCCATGGGAGGTAAGGAAGGCATCCAGACAGGAGGCATATCCTTTCAAATATTTACATATGAAAACATGATGTTTACAGTTTAAAAAAAAACATGAGAGCTGGACATGTATAGTTCTAGTGACTTGGGAGACAAAGCTGAGGCAGGAAGATGGCTTGAGCCCAGGAGTTGGAGGGCAGACTGAGCAACATAGGAAGACTTTGTATCAAAAAGTTAAAGAAAACCGCCAGGCACCGGGGGCTCACACCTGTAATCCTAGCTACTCAGGAGGCACAGATCAGGAGACTCATGGTTCAAACCCAGCCTGGGCAAATAGTGCTCAAGACCCTTCCTCAAAAAACCCATCGCAAAAAAGGCTGGCTCATGGCTCAAGGTGTAGGCCCTGAGTTCAAGTCCCAGGACTGCAAAAAAAAAAAAAAAAAAGAAAACCAAGCATGGGAGGAAAGAATAGGTGAGGGCGTGGTGGAAGGGTCAGAATGAGTCATGGGTTTTGTTGTAGTGAAGTGATGATGGGTGCTGCTACACTGGAGTCTATCATCTTAAGTCAACCTACTCACATGCTAGAAATTCTGTAGAATAAACATTGTTAAGGTAAACACACAACCACAGTGCAAGGAAAAAGGCTACAAACTGAGAACGGAATTGTGTGCCACACATATAACTAGTGAAGAACAGAGTCTAGAATATACTTGCTTCTAAACGACAAAACTTATCCCTGTTAATATGAACAGACAGTTTATTTCCCAGAAGAGGAAATAGTCCAATAACCTGAAAAACTCATTGTTAACTTCATAATCATTAAAAATGCAAATTAAAGGCATAATTATAATAGGGTCTGGTGGTGTACATCTGTAATTCCAGCACTTGGCAGGATGAGGCAGAAAGACCAGGAATTTGAGGCCAGTTTTATAGCAAGATCCTATCCCAAAACAAAACAAAAATGCATAATTACAAACTAGTTCATTCTCATGAGATAAACACAAATTTGAAATGAGCAAGGCTGGATGTGGTGGTGGAAGCCTGTAATGCCAGCACTCAGGAAGTGGAGGCAGGAGGATGGAGAGTTAAAGACCAGTCTATTCTGTATGGCAAAACCTTTCTCAGGAAAGAAAGTCAAATTAGGACTAGGGATGTACTCAGTGGCAGAGTGGGCTTAGCGTGAGAAGGCCCTGGGTTCTGTCTCCAACATGAAAATCAAAAATCATTGTCCTGTGATTCAACTGGGTCTCAGCATTGTTCACTGGGGTGTAAATTCCTCAGCTGCTGTGACAAATGGTAACCAAGTTTATTCTCTTCCTTTCAGTGCTCTGCTTCTCAGTGTATACCCTAGAGATATGCTCAAGGAACAGGGGTAAGGAACCCCAAAGTTACTTTGTAATTTAGGAAAAAGAAAACCAAAATTCCTGGAAACAGCCAAAAACCCACTGGGACAGTGATTAGTAAATTGCATATGCAATGACCTGCCGTGTGCAGTGCTCATGAACTACTGGCGTGAACAGAAATGAGTCTTCCCAACATGATGTTGAGTGCCAAAAAAGACAAATCAGAGAAAAACCCCAAAATACCTTCCTATAAAGTTCCACCACAAGCAAAACTAAGCATCATCAATACCAACAGATGTGGGCGCGTACACACACATGTATAAATATGAATAGCACAGGAATCATAAAAAACTCAGTGCGGTGTGGAGGGTGAGGACACCTGGGGAGGGCTTACATGGACTTCTAAGCCTTCTATTTTCTTTCCTTTCTTTTTTTCTGGTTTGTAGTACCATGGAATTACAGGTGTGCATCACACACCTGACTCTGCTTTTTAAATGTTTTTATTAGTATCTAATAGTTGCACGGGGGTTCTGTTGTGACGTGTCGATATATGCATATCAGTTTGGTTCATCCCCTCCATTGTTCTCCCTCCTCTCCCTCCTCTTCTTGAAATGACTCTGACAGGTTTTAACGTTCCATATTTATTCATGTATAGAAAATACATCAACCATATTCTCCCTCCTCTACCCTCTTCATTTCACCTTCCCCCTCCCACTCATGCCCTCCCCTTAACACGATCTGTTTTATAGTCCTGTCCTTCATTGTTTAAGTGTCCATTGTTCAATGGAGTTTGTGTGTGTGTGTGCGTGTGTGGTCTTGGGATTTGAACTCAGTGGCCTACATCTTGAGCCACTCCACCAGCCCATTTTCTGTGATGCGTGTTTTCAAGATAGCGTCTCACAAACTATTTCCCCAGACTGGCTTTGAATGGCGATCCTCCTGATCTCTGCCTCCTGACTTGGTAGGATTCCAGGCGTGGGCCACCGGCACCCAGTCTCAATGGAGTTTTGCCTTGGTATTTTACCTGTAAATATATTGTACTTTGATCAGCCTAACCCCCTCTATTACTCTTCCTTACCCTTTCTCCCTACCCCATGTTGTTCCAAAGTTTTCAGTGCATTTCATTGTGTCTTGTTCCTGCACAGATTTGTTGTATTTCGATATTACTCGCCTCTTACTCTTTTCTTTCCCTCCTCCCCTAGTCCATGGGCACGAAGACTTGAACTCATACTTAGCAAACGTTTTAGTATTTAAACTTACTTACCAATGGCTCAGATGAAATATTTATCACATTTCTATTTCTTTTTTTTTGATTTTCTGGGACATGATCTCATAGCGTAGGCTACCCTGGAACTTGATATGTAGCTCAGGGTGGCCTGTTACTGTGATTTTCCTGCCTCAGCCTTTGAGTGCTGGGATTATAGCACTCGCCACCATGCCCAGCCTTACTTCACTTTTTAACAGTTACTCTTACATTATCCATGAACTTGAAGACTGTAGACAGTGTAGTAAATACTATAAGTCAATTGTTTTACCATTAGTAATTTTTGTTTTTCAAAGAAAACAAAAATTCAGTATTGCTGTATTTGAAACTTAGTGTAAGACAAAGCAGTATGGTAATGTAAATTTATCACATCTACATTCAGCCAGTTAAATCCGTCTTATAGTTATGAGAAACTGAAACAAGCTGAGGCCAGTTGGTTATACGGCTGAACCAAACGTGGAAGTATTGAATTAAAATTTTTATAGCAGTAGATTTTTAAGTACAGTACTGGCACAGTGGCTCACATCTGTAATCCTAGCTACTCAGGAGGTGGATATAGGAGAGGTTTGCAGTTTGAGGACAGCCTAGGCAAAAGTCAGTGAGACCCCATTTAAACCAATGAAATGCTGGGCATGGCAGCTGACCTGAGTGGCCACTGCACTGCCTCAGACCTCTTACCTGTCCCCGGGTCTCTGGAGCCACATCCAGTCAGTGGGAAGGGATCCAGCAGCTGCTGCAGGCTGAGAAGTGGACAGCTGAGAAGGTGTGCGAGGGCCACAGGTGAAAGAGCCAGAGGCTGAAGCAGGCTAAAGAAGACAGGCTGAAACTGACCAGTACTGCCTGCAGGGGGAGAAAGAGCTCAAGGCCAGGAAGTTGTGGCCCTGGGATCCTCTGGCAGTTGCAGCACTAAGGTGGAGATGGTGACCCAGGAGAAGATGACCATCCTCCAGAACTACTTCTGGCAGAATAAGGATAAAGTCGTGGGTCACCTCTTGGCTTTTGTGTGTGACATCCAGCCAGAAATCCACAAAAACTAGTGCATGGATGGATAGGACAGAGAGAAACACTTGTTCCGTGGGTTGGCACAGTAGACGCCCTTATGGAATATGGACTATTACCAAAGCTCCCGTTCGGTTCTTCTGAAAGGCATTAAATTATTTCTCTACGCAAATAAGGCTTGTGCCTCTCATCCCAGCTAAGAAGGTAGCATAAACAGAAGGACCCAGGGGACAGCATGGGCAAAAATGTAAGACCCCTGGAGTTGAGGCTGAAGCAGGAGACCACCTGCTTAACAAGCCCAAAGCACTGAGTTCAAACCAACAGTACTGCCCACAACTAAAGCAAGACTATTCAAAAACAGCAAATAGTGCTGGGGGCATGGCTCAAGTGCTAGGGTCCCTGGCTGGCAAGTGCAAGGCCCTAATTCAAACCCCAATATTGACTCCTAAAAATATATAAATACTAAAGAACCCTTGAAAACTCACAAGAGGCCTCAAACTCACTAGTGTTCACAAGGGACAAGGAAACAAAAGAATGAGACTCAGCGAACACAAACAGCAAGCGTTTACCAGGGAAACAAACTTGGAGTCTAGAGATTGGAGAACATTCATTTTTTTCCATTTTAGTACAAACAGCAAGGGCATTAACAATGGAATCAACAAATCCATATGTATTTTAGGATCGATTTTTCTACTCTGAAGAATGTCATTGGAATTTTGATAGGGATTGCATTGAACATGTAGATTGCTTTTGGAGTATAGCCATTTTCACAAGGTTGATTCTGCCAATCCATGAGCATGGGAGAGCGTTCTATCTTCTGATGTCTTCTTCGATTTCTCTCTTCAGTGGTTTATAGTTTCCCTTGACAAGGTCTTTGGTTTCCTTTTTTAACTGATTCCAAGGTACTTCATTAGAGTTTTTCAGGTTATTGCAAATGGGATTATTTCCCTGATTTCTTGAGTCTAGTGACTATTTCTTTTGCTCTGCAGAAGCTTTTTAATTCATTTATTTTTCTCTTAGTTGCTAAGCCATTAGAATTCTATTTAGGAAGTTGTTGCCTATGCCTATATAATCAGAATTCCAAAACTATTGAGTAAGAGTGGGGAGAGAGGGCATCCTATCTCGTTCTGACTTCAGCAGGAATGGTTTCAGTTGTTCTCCATTTAGTATATAATGGTGGTATGGGTTTGTCATATATAGCCTTTAATATATTGAGGAACATTCAGGAAGGCATATTTTGAAGCAGTATAGATGTTAAGTCTGTTTTTCTTTCCCCAAAGTTAAGGCTGTAGTGAAGACTATCAGTTTTACTTTTTGGGCTGAAGAACCAGTCAGCTGGCAAAGGCTGAGGTTCAATGATTTCTCTTGGCTCACCACTGTATACCCTGCCTTTCTCTCCTCATTTAGCAGAAAACTAATTCCATCAGTAAACCATTCAGCCTCGGTTTCAAGGAGTGGCTTATCTGATAGGTCTGGTTTCTGTGCATAAGTTTGTATGATCACATGCTTACAAGTATGCTCAGTCATTAGCTCACAGGGCAGCAAAGATGCAGGATTTAGGATGTTTATCTTCACTTCTGGGAACTCTAGAAGGTTGGCTTGGTATTTAGTTAATCTTTCCCTGGACATCCCAAGTGACTTTTTAGTTCCAAGGTGGCTCTTACCTAATGGGTGGTAAGGTAAGAACTTCTAGCTGCTGACCCAGAGTAGTGGCCTCCTGTACTAGGAAGGTAATGGCAAGTATTGCCCTCAGACATCGTGGCAAACCCAGGGCAACTCCTTCCAACCTCTTAGAATGAGGGAGAGGGAGGGGTGGGGGCGGGGAGACATGGCCCAAACAATGTATGCACATATGAATAAATGAATAAAAAAAGAATGATAGGCAACTAACTGGACAAGGTTCCATCCCTAGGTTCTGAGTTAGTACCCTACAGTTAGTACCCTTTTGGTGGCAGAATACCATACAAGGTTTTTCCAAATTGGGAGTTCTTAGGAACAGGGCCTCAGTGAGGCCCTTTTTATGGGTTCTACAGGCATCATCTGTTTCTCTAGTCCCATTAGCAGCACCATGCTCAGTTTTCCTATTATATCCTGTCCCAAGAGTAAACCATGACATCCAGGGACTCTAAGAAATCTATGCATGTTGGTGGAGTGGCTGAAGTGATAGAGCACCTGCCTAGAAAGCATGAGGCCCTGAGTTCAAACCCAAGTACTGCAGAAAAAAGAAATTCCAAGAAATCTGTACATGAAGACTTGGATCTCAAAATAATAAGGCAAGAGGTGGGTGGAATTTCTAACCCTATTTTTTCCCATCAACCTTCATTACATCATCAGGGAGAAAGGCTTTCCCACATAGGTAGGAAGAACAGAGTAAGTTGCCCCATATCCAATAGGAAGTGAATTTACTTACCCATGTGCTGATCTTAGGCGGGGCTGCTGAGGGCACTTCTGGCACCCTCAGTTCTGCTCTGCTTCTGCCAGTGCAGCCAGAGTCTTAACTGCCTGGGTCCTTCTCTGAGAGTGGGGACAGTCAACCCTCCAGTGCCAAAACTCTTCTTTCAGAGCAGTTTTGACAAGGGCTCGGGGGGGGTGGGGGGCACCAGGCAATCCATGGCAAAATGCCGAGGATTCTTGCATTAGTAATAGGTTGACTTTGGGATTGCCTCCTCTCTCACGTTAGGGTGCCTTGCAAGGGGGCATTCCCAATCATGAGACATGGCAGCCATAACTTTGTCCTGCTTCCTTTCCTTACTCTGTCTTTTCTTTTTCTTTTCCAGGTTACAGTTATTATAGATCAGAAAAGCAGTGTCCAGCAAATGGATTTTATTAGTCTGAGGTTCAAGTTGTACCTTCTGAAGCTTCCACCTGAAGTCTAGGTGGACTGAGTAGTAAAATGGTGGCCTAGGAGGAGTGGCCCCTCTCTAGAGCAGGGATTGACACTAGTATATTTTCTAAAGGCTTCCTTGCAGCCTGTCCTAAGATGATACAGGACTTCTACCTGAGTAATTCCTCTAACCTCATCATAATTAATGGGTTTAGCATTCCTGATTTCATGCCCATGAGGGTTGCCTCCACCATGTTAGCTTTCCTTCACCTCTGCCCCCATCCCCAGAGTGTTGGTAGTCACAGTTAGGCTCATTTTCAGGGACAGTATCAGTCCATAGCTGACAATCCCAAGGGTCACATCTGTCTCCCTACAATCAGCAATAAGTATTCTTTCTTTTTCTGTGAGGGTGAAACAGCTGGCCAAAAGGAACTGATATTTCTCCAGGACAGATGGAAAGATAAGGATAGGGTGTGAAACCCTTCTGCAAATTTATCAGGGTCCTCAGAATATCTCCTACATTTTTCTTTGCACTGTTGGATATCAGCTACAGGAAAAGGCACTTATACCCAAACCGGCCCCTCCAGCCCCTCCATCTCTCCCAGCGGGAACAAGGCTTGGGAAGCCTCCAAGGAAAGTGTTTCACTTCGAGTATATAGGGGTCTCAGGAGTGTGGGGGGCTCATCAGAGGTTGGGGTGCACAGGGAGGATTATAGTAAGGAGAGAGGTGTCCCCCGGGAGCCAGGCGTCGCTCCCTGTAGCAGGGGATCAAGGATGTCCACATCCTCATTATTTGCTTTCCTCCTTTGGGGGCTGGAGGTCGACCTACAAAGGGAAGGGTCTTGACACAAGGCCATAAAAGCTTTGGCATACGATACTTATCACCATATGCCTTTTCTCTTACAAAACAAATCTAAGTGTAAAATGGGATTATAACTTCAGCTCCCATCTTGGGCCACTTTACTTGACTCCCCAGTTGGTATTGGGCCAGGCTACATTCCAGTAGGAGACAATGTGTTTCTTTTTCAGATTACCAGGATCGAATGATCCTGATGTTTAAGGATACAGCCAAGTGGAGAATCTGTTGGGATACATGTACTTCTCCCCATTTTGATCTGAAGAAAGAATAAAGGAGAAGAGAGAGAAGAAACACAACCCTTAGGAGGTAAGGAGGCTGGGACTCCATGAGCCCTTAGGGCACCCTCTATGGTCCTGAGATGGTAGAGGGGAATGAGAATGACCCCAACTTTCCTCCAAAACATGGCCAGACGTCTTTGGCAGTGGATGGGCATCAACATGCTGATATTTTTGGCTCCTCCAATGGCCGTGTCCAGTGTCCACCAGTCTGACCCCTGGGTGGAGGCCTCTGCTTTGGGCGTCCAACCTGAATCAGGTGTGCTTGGTGGTATATAGTGATAGACATGTGCCAGGTGTTCCAGATAAATAAGGAAAGTGGAAGTGAAAGTACACTGGCTCAGTAAAGTGGGGAACAGAGGTGGGATTTTGTGTAGGGGCTTACCTCCTGGCTGATTCACCAAAAATGGTACTGGTGGGTGGGGTCAGAAGACCCTGGTAGAGAAGATCTCAGGTACTTGGCATCCAAGCAAAGAATTAGATGGTGACATACAGATAGCAAAACAGTAACAGTGTTTTATTGAGAGCAAGAGTGTACACTCCCCAAGAAAGGGGGGAGTATCAGGCTGTAAGTGACAGGGGTTACCAGCAGCACCTGTAGCACCCCTTGGTTGGGATGGGTTTTTATACACTGCAGGGGATAAGAAAAGGGAAGAGATTTGAGTGGTACTTAGGAGTGGCTTTTGTTGATTGACCATACATGTGAATTACATGGGCTCTAATTAGGGTTCGGTCCAGATGAAAATGCTTTTTCAAAAGGGGCATTTTGGAGTCATTCTGGGTAGAGATAGATCACCTGTTGCCCCATAAGGCTAGCTCCAGGGAGGCTTCATGTCCCCCATGACCTGGTTTGGGTACTTTCGCTAAATTTCCTGCCTCAATTCCATCCCTGCAAGGTTTGCCAAATTCTATAACCAGAGCTTCCCATTCCCCCAGCAATAGGGCCTGGCTCTGGGTTGGAACACCCACCTACATTAAGAGAGAACAACATAATATGTATAAGAGCAGAAAATGGATTTATTTACAGATCAGGTGAAAACTGGAGACTGAGAACTTCTTAATCCATGTCTGCCTTGCCCATAACAAGGACACAACCTTACAGAAAAGGTCACAGTTTACAAAAAAAAAAAAAAAAGTCATAACTTACAGAAAAGTGTTACACTTTCAGAAAAGATGAAGCAAAGTTCAGGAAGTACACATGTGCTCATTTAGCTTAGGTCCCAGTTACCAGAACTGGGAGGCAGTCTTTCTTCTGGTGCCAGGGTTCTTGTGGTTGTTTTCACTCCCAGCATGGAATTTCCTTTAGGGACCCAACGCCTAGAGACCCCTTACACTGGGGATTGACCAGGACTTCATGCAAGCTCGTCAAGGGCTCTACCACTGAGCTACATCCCTAGTCCTGCCCTCTACTTCTTATGCTACATGTAGGTGTATAAAGGCTCATGTCATCATGTTCTGTAATTTACATATGCATCCATACATGTATATTTAATATTTATAAAAGAAAAATAGTCATAAATATGTTTAAATGAAACTAAACGGTTCAGCCCCAGTGCATGAGAACCATCCCAAAGGCATCATTGAGACTGAAGAAAGAGAAACAGACACATACAGAATAGGACAGAGTACAGTTTCTTGGGGACTTAGTGATGGGAGTGTGATTTGGGGCAGCAGGAAGACAAAGTGGATCCCCACGGGTTAGGTCAGATGAGAAATGTTAGGAGAAAGTGAGTTTATCCAAGCCAGAGTGTATCTGAAGAATTCTAAGCTAGTATCAAAGAGTCAGGAACATCCAGGCACCAAGGTCTAGTTCAAAAGCTCCACACACTGCTCTAATGAATTTATCTGTGGAGGAAAATGTGACAGGTTTTTCTTTAGAGCCATCATGGCGGTTACCACTGAAGATAGCTGCAACATGTCAGGCTCAATCCATATAGAAACAAAGAGGTCTGCCCACATCTGAAGCAGTTATGAGAAGTGAAATACTGTTTTCTTTCTTGCAGTTCTAGGGAACACAGGGTTTTAAGCTAGACTGGCAGGCATTCTGCCACTTGAGCCATGTCCCCAGGCCATGAAAATGCTTTTTATCAGTTCTCAGGAGAGCTGGGAGGGCAGTTTATGCCTCTTGTTTCACCATTATCAGAGGAAGCCCCTTTCATTCTCAGCAGTCTCTACAGCACCCAAACGTGATCATCAACAGACTCTGTACCACCCGAGCATGACTAAACGGTTCCAGTGATGGAAACAGTGGACCAGGGCTACATCATCATGGAACACAATAGTAGGGCAGAGCTCCTGCAGTATATCCAACAGACCAACTGCCTGCATGAGAATGAGGCCCATGGAGTATACAAGCAGATTGTGTGTGCCATCAAATACTGCCACAAAAAAGGCATGATACACACACACACGTGAAATCTAACATCCTGCTGCATGCCCAAGGATACATCGAGAAGAGCGACTTTGGCTTTAGCTTCAGATTCTGATAGAGTTGTGTGCTGTTTTTTCAGTCCATGCCACCAAACTCTTCCTGTACCACAAATACAATGGCCTGAGTGTCCCCCTGGACTACATGGTCACAGCTGCCTTCCCATTTAAAGGGAAGACATTTTTGCAGCTGCAGCAGCAGGTCCTGCACCCAAGGTATGGCATACCATCTTACCTCTCTGTGGAACTGCAAGGCATCATCATTCAATTACTCACCCTCAAGCCTAGCGAGAAGACTGCCCTGGAGAACATCGTGGGGAGCCTGTGCCTCAGCCAAGGTGAGGAAAGGTCACTGAGTCCTACTGACACACTGCCTAAACACTTGAACCCTACAATCCTGGCAGCCATGTGTGACCTGGGTTACAAATCACGTGAGATTGATGAGTTTTTATTAATCAGGAAATTCAGTGAGTAATGGCAACATTCCTCATGAGTTCAAACCCCAGTAATGCCCCACTCACCAAATTTAGAGTTTTCACAACATGATTTTCTTCTTGCTTCTTTCTTCTGTATCCTTTTGTCACTGGAGAGGAAAGGGATAAGGAAGATGTCCTGGTGAGAGAGAAGGGGGAGAAACCCTCAACTCATGTTCACAATTTCCATCTAACCAGGAAATGCTGTTTCTACATAAATGAATCAGGAATAATTCCTATTACTATTAACCAAGTAATTATACCTGTTTGGAATGACCAATAAAAATTAAAAATTGGGGTATGGACTGCTTTTCCTGGAAGCTCAATGTCTGGTCTACGTATAAATGCTCACCACTTTTCTTGGCCCTCTGGCTGCCATCCTTTCTTTGCTCATTTTTGGCCCATGCCTTCTCTGCTTTGTGATATCTTTTCTTCAGCACCACAAAACCTTATTCATGAAAAACTTGCACAACCCCAAGACTCAAATACCCAACCTGGCTATTCATTTTCAACCCATACCCCAAAGTGATTCCCCTTTTTTCATACTGGGGTTTGAACTCAGGATGTACACCTTGAGCCACTCCACCCAGCTGTGTCTGTCATGGATTTTTTCAAGATAGGTCTCAAGAACTAGTTGCTTGGGCTGGCTTCGAACTGTGATCCTCCTGATCTCTGCCTCCTGAGTAGCTAGGATTATAGGTGTGAACCACAAGCACCCAGTCCAAAATGACCCCTTGACTCCTCAGGGACAAGTCTGTACACCTTCTCAGCATGAAGCATGTATAGAAGATGGACCTCACATCCTCAACAACCCTAGAGTGGGTGGGGGCGGGGTTGCCCCTTGTCATCTTCCAAAGAATCATCTCTTCCATGTCTGATGGAGGGAACTGTAAAGCCCAAAAATTAGTCTAAATAACTCCCTTTTGCATCTAGACCCGATTCTGTGTAGATTCCCACAAAACCTTGCTTATCCTTTTCAAACTCTTTTCTGTTCTAGTCTGACAAACGACAGTACTCAAAAACTTTGAAGACCTATCTCTGGACCAAGCCAAACCCGGCCAATGTGCTGATCTAATCAGGGATGCAACCTCACCATCTGTGAAAGGGACAAACAACTGCCTGACCCACTCCCCTACCTGTTTCTACAACTGCCTCCTTACAAAAACATTTAAGGACTCACTCAAATTACCTCATGAAGCCAATGGTGTCTGGTCCTTTTCTCTCTTGGAAAGTAAATAAAAAACTTTGTCTCTGCTTTAACTCCCATCTATATAGCATTGTTCACCACCTGCCCACTAGCCACACTACTGGGATCTAACACATAGGACTTTCCTCAGTCCCAGGAACTTTTGCCTTAGGGTTTCTCTATAAAAATTTACTTAACAGTATCTACCTATCTATCTCTCTACCTACGTATCAATCATCTATCTATCAGGGTCAGGATTTGAACTCAGAGCTTCACACTAGCAAAGCAAGTACTCTATTGCTTGAGGCACATGTCCAGTCCATTTTGTTCTGGTTAGTTTGGAGATGGCGGGGTCTCCTTAAGTCTTAACCCGGGGAGACCTCACACCACTTCCCCTTCCCCATTTCAGCTCTTGGGATTGCCAGCATGAGCCAGCAGCAGCACCCGGGTTAAAATTGTACTATATAGCCAGGCATGGTAGGACACACTTGTAAATCCAGCACATGGGAAACTGACAGGAGGCTTGAGAGTTTATGGCCAGCTTGGATTACACACGGAGACCTTGTTTCCAAATAAATAAATGAAACAAAAAATATTTCTGAAGCTCTTATGAATGGTATTATTTTCCTCATTTCTTTCTCAGCCTGTTCATTATTTGTGTATAGAAATGCTACTTATTTTATGTAATGACCAACTGTGCATCCATCATCATCCTTTAATAACAAATGAAAAAACAGCCATTTTCAGATAATCAGAGGCTGAAAGAATTCATTACAAGCATATCTGCCGTATAAGAATTGCTATAGGAACAGGGCCAGGAGGTAAAGATGCCCTCCATGGCCCTGCATCTCCTTGGAAAGGCCGTGGTATGAAAGGCACAGGAAGGCAGTAGTAAACAGCAGATAGGGATAGAACAGAAGTCTGGGAACACTGAACTTTAGATTTCTAAAAGTAGAAAGGACCCTCAAATAGAGTGCTAAAGAGAGGCCTTAAGAACATTCCAGGGAAGAGCAGAAGAAGCTCTAGTTTTTTTCTCTAATCCCCAAAAGCTTCCCCTCCCCAGTAACTAAACAAAAAATCACTTGGGAGAATGTGTGTGGATCCATAAAACTAGTTGAGACTGGGACTGAAATTCAGACACAAAACCATGTGGGTAGAGACCACAAACTCCAAGACAGAGGTGCCATGCTGAGAAAGTGCCAGTACGGGACCGCCTCAGGTGCATGGGACCCGCCAGGAGTGCAGTGGGGAACAGACTGGGAGTCGGCACAACCTGAGTGACATGGGAATCCCGCAAGCCAAAGCCAGGGCTGCTGCCTGGGGAGTGAGCATGGACAGTGAGCACTGCCAAGGTGCTGCCTCGTTGGGATCTGGATGCAATCTGGCGTGAGTCAAGGCAGAGTGGTGACAAGCCCCAGTGGCAATCATGACAGTCAAGTGGAGAGCACAGTAGGAGTCAGCAGGAGCATGACTGACTCGGTAATTTCCATCAATCAAGTGGGGAGCGAGCCTGGAGTCAACACGAGTGAGGAACTAGCCTGGAGAGAACTGGGAGGTTGGGAGCCACAGGTTGCCGGGAGTCAGGAGGGGAGCAGCTGCTTGCTGTTCGCCCAGCTTGCAAGTAGCATTTTCTGTGCACCTGCTGGGTAGGAGATCTGGCTCCGGACTGTGCAGTTGCTGGATGAGCGGTCTGCCATTGACTTAAATCCCCAAACTAGACAACCCCCACTGGCCTAGCCTGTTTGACCTTCAAAGAAAAAAACAACTGTTCCAAGGAGCAGGGAAATCTTGTACCAACCTCCCCAATAAGGAAGAACTATGGATTTTTGTTTCTTTTTTATTTTTTTTTGCAGCTATTATCAAAAATGTGTTTCTATGATCTTTAGTATTTTATCTTTCTCTGCACATATCTTACTGTGTTCTCTGTTCCTACTAATTGAATGCCTTCCCACCATATACTTTTCACCTCTTTTATATCTTGCTTCTATTTTCCTTTCCCACCCCCTGCTTTTATTATTTAGTTTTTAATATGTATGCAATTAAAAAGTATTAAACTCCTACCTTACCCAGTAAGTAACCTAGTTCTTCCTTTATAAACTTATTGGGGGAGTAGTTGAAGTTTACATTTTTTGATATTTTGAGGCGGTGTCTCATTATTTAGGCCAGGCTAACTTTGGACTCAGGGTGATGCCCCTGCCTCAGTCCTTGGGAGAAGATACCACAGAACAAAGTGAGCTTTCATAGAGACATCAGCACAGCCATGTCAACCCAGCACTGCACAACTGCCAAGTGACAGAACCCATAGGTGCCTGTCAGTGGATGAGCGCTGTAAAAATGTGGTGAATCGACACAATGGAGGTTTATTTGGCCAAGAGGAATGAAATGATATTATTTGCAAGACAATGAGATTTCATCATGTTAAGAGAAACAAGAAAGACAAGTCATTGAATGTTTTCTCTCGTAGAATTTAAGGAAAAAGAGCGTGAAAGTAATAGGGAATCTTAGAGATGTGAAAGGGGACAAGGTGTAGGAGAGGGGATAAGAGGCAGTAATAGAGGGTTGAGTATGATGAAAGTATTTTGTATGCACGCAGGAAAATGACCCAATAAAACCCATTACTTCATGACATTCATATGTTCTAATTAAAGCCAGAGAAAATAACATAACTAGACAATTTTTCCAAATGTTACAACTTAACATACATCAAACAATGAGGCAAATGATTAAATATTTTAATTAAGTGATAACAAAAATAAATGATACCCAAATCTGTAGAATGTCTGGAGGAAATTTATCATTTTAAATGCTTATATGAATAAAAAGCTGCAAGATTGTGGAACAACTATTTAGATCCAAAGTAAGATTCTCACATTGCTGTTTTCTATATTAAGACAGAACACAAACAATAAACAGAATGTGTTCTTAAAGAGACCTCAAGGGAACTAACCCCAGGGGCCACAACTAGGCAGCAGTCCTCATGGCTGCCCCAGTCTCCAGGAAGGGATCTATTTGTTAGTTCCCAGTCATCCATGCTTGACCAGAGACAGCCACGTGTCCCATCCTTAATGTTCTGCTCCAGGAAAAAGGCCGTTCCCTTCTCAGCCTAGCTGTGAATTTCCCATCACCCAGGTCCAGAAGGGAACCAGCCGATATAGGAATTCTGTGACAGTGCCCAACAGCAGACAGCATCCAGGTAAGTGGGGCTGGGAGAGCAAATGAGAGACGATTTCCTCCAACAATAGACAGATTCTCATGCACATTGAACAGATGAGCTGTGCACTGGGAACAGAACAGTCCATCTCCAGGATGGAAACAGGAAAGTGGGCAGTGGAAAGAGGAGAAGATAACTAGGTTTAGCAGTGCTATGACCAGTGGCTGGAGTCTGTTCAGAAGCCTGGGAGAGCTCAGAACCAAGAGCCCCACTTCCTGGAAACCCAACACAGACTCTCCTCTGTCAGACATGCTACTGTGTCCCTCATGTCCACTTGTTGCTAGTTGACTCCGTGTCCTCCGAAAGTGATCCACGATCACATAATAAAGGTGATGCAGATCTCAGCTACTTGGTGCCAGCCTGAGCCCCAAGAGGGATGCTGGCTGCACTGGAGTCCTCAGCCTTTTTTCATGGTGCAGGGACCCAAACACTCAGGGAAGCAGTTATGTCAGATGTGGAAACACGCTGACACCCTAGCATGACTGACCACAGATCAATGCATGAGAGCAGACATCAACTGATTTCAGTTATATGAGCTAATGTCATTGTCACAGTTGTGCTAGAAGTACTCTCTCCCTCAGGAAGCTGCAGGGGAAGCTGAATTCTATTTCACAGATTGCCTGATGAAAATCTAATCAGACCAACTGCATTCCCTACCACAATTCAGTGGTTTGCTTCAGAAGCTCAATGTCTTGAGGTTAAACTGTGGAACAGTGATATTTCATCCACCAAATGCCCCTCCTAGCCAGCCCACCTCTCAATGCAAATGCTCTAGGAGGAGACTGTGGCCATTCTCAGCACAGGGCCTTTGTAGCAGTTACAACCCCGAGAGCACAGGCCCCGACATCCCTATCACACCCTTTCCCTCTGCTTCTGCTGTGAAACTGTCTGTCCTGAAGACCATAGTATTCTCATCTACAGTCAATGAACTCTGCTTGTGAGACTATATACCCCCCAGTGCCTGCCAAAACCTTCAACATATACGGTCCACATTTACTGTGTTTCCTCAGGAGCAATGTCTACCTTCCTTCTTGACCTGCTCTACTTTGACAATGGGAGTGAATCCAGATAAAAACTGAATTCAAATCTCAGCACTTCTCTTCAATTTCATTCATTTAACTCTCACTCTGGTAGATTCCTCGCTGTCTCCATAATATGTACATCCTATATGCAATCCACCCCCCAAAAGTAACTGCTACGATATCCTCGGCCAGGCAGTCAGGCCACCTCCCATAGCAGTAGCTGGTCTTTCTGCTTCCTTTTCTTCAGGCCACTGATCTCCCACTGATCACATCTCCTTTCCTTCCCACTTGACCAATGACCTCTCCCAGGGACCCTACAGTCCACAGTGTTTTACTTGACCACCACACACCCACACCTCTGGTGATTTTTTAGTCCTGGAATACTTTTTGTAAACCACATGAAATTGCTCTTTATCAATTTGCAAATCCCTTTCATCACATGAAAAAATATTCTGCTACCACAGGCTTCTGCCATTCCTCTTTTGATGGCACTAAGGAGAGGGGACACTGCACATAACCACTGACAGCAGCTCAGGTGAGCACACCAAGAGCTGTGAGCTCTGGTGACCACATCTTAATGACAGAGAAAGTGCTGAGGACAAACCACCAGGCAGGCCTATTAAAGCCCATGAATGTTCAAATTCTGAGAAAACAGACAAGTCACAGACAAAACCTTCAGGATTAGAGTTGGCATCTGACACAGATGAG